AACATCAGGCATTGGAAATGTATCCTGGTCTCAGACTACACTCAGCAGAAGGCTGCATTTGCAGGTGAGCCCATACCCCCGGTGCTGTTAAAAGGCAGATTGTCTAGGAGGAAATAAAACAATCTCATGAACCCTGATCTTATAAACCTAAACCTAAAAATGGTTGTCAAGTTTTGCTGTAAAAAAAAAAAGGACTCTTCTGATTTCCTAGTTTATAGCCTCTTTCCCACTTTCAGACTTACCTACAGAAAAATAAATCATGGATCCCGTAACATTCTAAGATGCTCTAAGCCGGCTAGGGATCTCAGCCAACTGAGTCTCCCCCAAAGCACACATTTCACTCCAGAGTGTCCAGAACCCCGGCTCATGTGACTCCTCAGTCTTGTCTCCCTCTGCCAACAGACTGAAGCCTAAGGCAGAAGTGAGGTAACGTGGATATAGGATGGTGAGCTGAGAGAAGGCTCAAGGAGCATGATGGGTGTGCCTTTGTTTGCCACATGCTTTGTTTAATGCAAGTAGAATTAAATCCCTCCTGAACAGAATGGGCAGGTGGGGCAAGTCACAGGCTGACAGTCTAGGGTATGTCTTGTTGTCATGTTGTCACTGTGCTAACATGGGTTGCATTAACTCCCGACCCTTCTGTGTGGTGCCATGAGCTTTAGACAAGTGGAGATGAGGCAGAGTTTCCCTCTGTTCCCGATTCATCCCATGCACACGGGGCCCCTCTCCTTTTCTTTGCTTCATACTTACGCTGCAAAGTTGGGTGTGGAGAGGGTGGTTAATGTCCACAGGGGATAAACTAGGAGGATTCCAGCAAACGTCACAGGCACAGACAGGGGCAGTCCTGCTATGAAATCTCATGTGTGGTACTGGATGTTGATGAAATGAAGTCCTTCATTAGATAGTTCCTGGGCACAGGCAGCGGGGCCAACATGTTCATGTATCTGTTCTTGCAAAAGTGAAGTGAGGGGAGTAGTGATTCAGCACCCGAGGAGCTTTGGAATGTTCCGGTGGCTCCCCTCTGTGGGGGGCCCACTGAAGGCCCACCCAGCCCGCACTGTTTAAGGACATCCCCAATTCCCTGAGGGACTTCCTCCTTTGAATATCCCCCTCCTTACCTCATCTTCAAAACCCCTTCTTTTTTCCGTGCTAAATGTTGGTGGCCCAGTAGGCATGGAACCCCAAAGAATGGGAACCCTTACCTAGAAGGCCAGGAGGGCTTAATCTTTCTAGGGAAGCATGGAAAAGGAGAGACAATTTACTCTCCACAGTAGCATTTCCTAACCTTTCACATGTGCAGCCATCGCTGTAGATACACTGAGGCCTCCAGGCAGGGCTCTTTCAGTAAGCCCGGCAGCACCCGCGCACACTGAGGACCGTAGACATTAAATAATAAGAAAACAATTAAGTTGCTTGGGATGTGCTCAGTGGGTGTTCATTCCTGGCAGTCGTTATTGGCATCTGAAGTTGTGGGTTGAGGAATTAGAACCAACAGATTTTTTTTTTTCCATTTCAATTTTTACAACACAGTGGGAATATGTGTGTGTGTGTGTGTGTGTGTTTATAATTTTCTGCTGGCTTTCAGTGACAGGCAACATCTCACAAGTATGCATTAGAGATGCTAGCCAAGGTGCCTACCTTCAGATATCCCTATAGGAGGTATGGTGAGGTTCTGGAATTGATAAAGCTTTTTCAATCTGCAACCATTTGACCTTTGGCACGTCCGTCCATCCTGTCTCGTAAAAGCTGAAGTTTCAAGGGGGCAAGATGAAGAGCCCAGGTCAGGATAAGTCATTTCGCAAGGATGCACAATGCTGCCTAGACAATAACCCCCGCCTCTTTTAGGCAACTGATATTCTCCCAATGGTCCATGAGTGCAGATGACTCCAGATACTGATGGTTCAACAGAATAAATCAGAAAACTTTCCAACTCTCCCTGTTATGATAAGGATATGACTTGTGAACTAACAAAGCGTATCATTTTCATTTTATTTCCTCATGAAAGAGCTTGGACCAAACATCCCTCCAGCCCAGCTCCAAATGCAAAGTATTTTCAGTTTGCTCTCCTGCAGAGTCAATTTTCTTTTTTCCTGACAGCTTCCATTCCTTGATTAAATCCTGAAACTTCATTTAATATGTTAAATCAGAACCAGAGTCCCTGGAGACAAACCAGATTAGTAATGCAATCCATTGTGTCCAAGGCTGTTTCTTTCACTGTTTTGTTTGCTGCAAAGGAGCATGAAAGATGAGAGACAGACCAAATAAATAAATAACAATAGAACAATAGGAGAAATGGATGAAAGGGAAAAGGGAGATGATAAATATGGTAAAGAGACTGGGAAACAGATGTGCATCAAGTGAAAGGCTTTCCAGTTCTTTTCTCAATTGAAAAGTATCCTCATCACCCCTCCTTTCTTTATTAAGTTCTTATCTCTTTTTTCTTTTTTCCTGCTTCTCTAATTGCACAGAGAGCATTGTAGATGCATCTCAGCAGTAGCACTATTAGCTCAGAAAATACACTGCTTCAAATCTTCTGGTGAAAGATTTCTCAAAATCATGACAAACTTTGGTGGTTTGGGAAACAATGGTAACACATAAGTTGTAATACAGCCACGCTTTTAGCATCGTGATCGTCTTCACTGCCTGCATCATTGCTGCCGTCATTATCGGTGGTGGTGTTAGCAACCCTGAAACGTGGGCTTTAATCCCGAAGGCAAACAGGAGTTTGCATTAGGTTTAAATTATGGTCTCTGGTTTGGATTTCATGCTTTTTCTGGTGGTGCAGAAAAACTTTGACCTTTAGCAAATGAGTTCATTTCTCTGCTTTAAAAATGCTTGATTAGCAAACACTGGGCAACAGGAATGAGTAGTCAGCTTCCACCGAGAGGCCAAGGACTGAAGTTGTGACATTCCCAACACTGGAGAAGTCCCCGAACGGAATATAAAGATTTTTCTTTTTCCTACTTTGGTCTTGTTAAAAGCAGTATGAACTAAACATTTTTGCACTTTCAGAGGCTCCCTCTGTCCTCCAGGTCTTGATCGTGGTGGGCAAGAAGACCAGCAGCATTGGGCCTCGATAATGTTAGCTGAATCCAAATCTGAACAAGTAGACCAGATGGCTCAGGGAACACCATTTACACCATAGTTCTGCCTCACCAGCACACTCTCAAAAAACCTCTGTCCTATAATCTTACCCTTAGGAAAGCATTCCTTTGATTGAACAAGCTTGTATTTGAAAAATGAGAATTCCTGGGGAAGGTTAAAGTGGTAAACAGTAATGAGGGGGTGGGTGAAGGGTGGGAAAGATGTATATTGTCCAAGTCTCCTTCTCCGAGCCGAGTAAGAAGAGGGGGGAGTGTAAAAGAGTGGCGTAGGCCCACACTAGGGAGTCAGGAAGGCCTAGGGTTTTAAATCCTAGCTCTGCCCCTTGCTGGCTGTGTGACCTTAGGCAAATGACTTAACTTCTATGAATTTCAACAGCCTCATTTTTTTTTTCTTTTCTTTTTTGAAGTATAGACAGTTTACAATGTTGTGTCAATTTCTGGTGTACAGCACAGTGCTTCAGTCATATAGGAACATACATACATTCGTTTTCATATCCTCTTTCACCATAAGTTACTATAAGATATTGAACTTGTTTCCCTGTGCTATACAGTATGAGATTCTTGATTATCTGTTTTATACATACTAGTTAATATCCGAAAATCTCGAACTCCCAATCTATCCCTTCCCACCTACCTCCCCCTGGTAACCATAAGTACGTTTTCTATGTCTGTGAGTCTGTTTCTGTTTTGTAAATAAGTTTGTTTGTCTTTTTTTTAGATTCCACATATAAGTGATATCATACGGTATTTTTCTTTCTCTTTCTGGCTTCACTTAGAATGACATTTTCCAGGTCCACCCGTGTTGCTGCAAATGGCATTATTTTACTATTTT